GAGTCTTTAGCTTGGTTCCTGTGTCTGGTCATCCTGGAGGGCCTCTCTTTAGAACCGTGGACCCCCTGCTCCTGTGTCATCCCATGCCCATCCTTTGACCCTGCAGTCCTGCCCTGGGGCACTGAGTTCTGTGGGAGATGCTAGGCACATGTGTAGCCCGTGCCCATCAGGCACCCACCCTGCTGGGCCACAGCCCTCCAGTCCTCTGTTCTCAGCTCTCTTTCTTATCACCCATGTGCCCATTCTAAACACTCACTGCTCTTTCCATGCCCTGCACACACCAACTCCACCTGCCTGCATGGTGCAAGACGTCACTGCATGGAGAAAGCAGGACACTCTCTCACAGGCCTTCCCTCCCACAAGGCCACGGACTCTGTCTTTGGCCCTGGCTTCCCTGCCTCTGCTATGTCTTTCCCAAGGGCTCCCCTGCTTCCATCTGCCCTGCAGAACAGCCTGGCCTCCTGCCTGATTATCCCCTCTTTTGCCTTTAATCCTTCTCTGGCAGCAATTTTCTCTTGACCTCCATTGGTCCTGTTTCTCTCATCCTAAAGGTCAGTCCTTTGCCTGCTGTTCCCCTGAAACGACAATCTTCTCTCTTTCCTTCCACCAGCACTTTCGAAGGAGGCCTCTGCTCTCTCGGTCTCTGCTTCCTCAGTCCCCAAGGCTTCGCTCTCAGACATCTGCCTCCATGTTGCCCTGGACTGCTCTGTATCCACATGGCCAGACCACAAGTCTGTTTTCTGCACCTAGCCCCACCGGCCATGTCCTTCATCACGGGAGGTCACACAGCACAGTGCAGAGAGCACGGCCTCTCCTGACGGTCTCAGTCTGAATCTTGGCTTTGCCTTTTATTACTGGTTTTGTGATCTTCAGCAAATTATACAACTTCCCAGTGCCCAAGTTTTCTCATCTGTGAAATGGGGCTCATAACACTACTGGCAATATAAGGCCGTTATATGAGGATTAAAGGAGTTAATGCGTGGAAAACAATTAGAAGCGGGGCTGGCTCACGGAGAGGCCTCGAGGAGAACTAGCTGTAATGATTCTCCTTCCTTCTCGCTCGGACCTTTCTCCTTTGGGGCACCTAGGCATCAGTTTCTTTCTGGCTTCTGCATCCTGTAAAGTGGAGTCTTCTAAGGCTCCTCTGTGCTATCTGCATCCTTCCCAGACTCTCTCTAGAGCCTAGAGCCCTCTCAGCCTTTCCCACTTCTGTCCCTCTGCATATTCTTTCCCAGAGATCTCGTCTACTCCAGTGACTATAACTGAGATAGATTTGTTGACGATATCCATATTTCTTCTTTAAAGTTCTGGCACTTTTATTACATAAGCAATCCATGTTCATCTTAACAAAATTGCATAGTATAGATAAGAAGTGAGAAAACTAAATGTAAATCTTTCATAACCCAACCACTGAGAGACACCAACGGTTTGTCCCTCTAGTAAGACCGTCTCAATCTTCTTTCTGTGTGTGTGTATATGATATATAATATATGTTTATATGTACTTATAAGAGTACATGCAGATCTCTGTCATCATCTTCAGGGCTGCGTGGTACTCCATTATGTGCTGTGCCATGATCTATTCAATCAGCGCCTTGTGGGCTGTCTGGGCTGTTTCCAATCTACTGCTATGATGACCTTCTTTGTACTGGCAGCCCCATGGACTTAGCTGCTACCTCCCCTGGAGAAAGCCCTGAGGGATCTGGACTCGTATTCCTAATTACCTACTGGGCATCTCTACTACAGGTACTTCAAGCTCAACAAACTCCACATGGAACTTTGTGTCTCTTCCTCTTATTCTCCCAGCCTAAGCCAATGGTGGCTTTCTAGCCATTCTCTCAGACTAGAAATCTGACAGATTCTCTCAACACTCAAGTCACCGTGTTTACTCCATCGCCCTTTAACTGTCTCCTGCATATAGGACATCCTTCGCATCTCCACTGGCCCTGCTATGGTTCCAGCTCATGCTGTCTCATTTCTTTCAGGTTTGATCTCATGGCTCTGCCCAGGGATTGAAGTATCGTGGCCTTTTTACATAACCTGCCACAGTCTATTTCTCTAACATCAATATCTTAATACTCCCTCCTACTCATCACCTACTCCGGTTTCAAGGCACACCTCGGCCCCCCATTCCCTTTCGCAGCTCCATGCTTTTGCACCTGCTGTTCGCTCCATCTGCTATATCTCCCTCTTGGCTCTCTGCGTGGTGCATACCATTTATCTTTCTCTAGCACTCAGTTTACTTTTGCTGCAAAGAATCTCGTGATTCCCCCAAGCAAAACTAGATGCTCCTCTTCACGTTTCCTACAGGCTTCGGTTCTACCTCCAGGACTTTGCCCTGTGTTTCCCCCACTAATGTCTGAGTGGCATCTTGAGGGCAGGGATGGGTCTTATTTGTCATGATAGTTCTAGTGACTGTTGCAGGCCTGGTGCAGAGCTAGTGCCCCTCCCATCCCTAGTGAATGAATGAGCGAACTACCTGATCTCACACTCCTGACGTGGCAGCTTAAGGCATGGCAATGACATATACCTGAAAATGATAGAGCTTTAAACTATGAAAGCAGGTTTCTTCCCATTCTTTTAGAAGGAAACATAATCTGAAAGCATTTGAGAATAACTATAACTTACAAAACCATTTTAAGAGGGGAGAGCAAGTTACCTGTTCTCTACACGGCCATGTTAATGTGAATATCTGAATGTGTCTCGGAGCATCACTGTCACCCAAATATTATTGATGAGAAAAAGAAAACCCCCATGATAATATTCATCCTTTGCATTACATTGTATATTTTTTCAAAGACCTCTACATGGGTGATTTCATTTGATCTTCATGATCTCCCTATGGTTGATTGCAAAAATGGCCCTGATTTTCCAGCCCTCTATGTTTCCATGCCTTTACAAAGAGCTGTTCCCACGAAGAGGTGGAATCTCTTTCCTCTAGATCTGGGCTGGCG